CAATTTATTACGAAAATATAAAGATCTGTATCTTAAAATTGCTGAATGTGCTTGGAATGTTTTAGTATTTGGAGATTTGCCAACTTTAATGGTTATGTTAAAATCTTCTTTATCATCAAGAAGTTCAAGATAATTATTTGAAAGCGTTTCAAAGAATTTTACTGTTAAACGTAAATATGTACTAACATTTAAAAAAAGGCCATCTGAATAACAAAATCGATATTTCGTGTAATGTTTGACGATGTAACGTATAAGCGCCATTGCTTCGAAAAACGACTCGATCGACTTGCATATATATTAACCAACTCTTTAACCCTCGTGATACTTCGGGGAAAGTAAATTTATTAAAATTTTATATTTAATTTTATAAAATTATAATAGCAATTGCCAGATAATAACGATAAAGGTCCTAAAAAACGAACCCGATCCTAATTTTATCATATGCACACGTTTGTATTTTAATACTGTTATATATTAGCGTTTGATTATAATAAAACCGACAATCTCTACTTCGAAGTTGGTGTCGCTTGTAAACTTAAGAATATACAGTATGTTATTCGCAACTGCTTAGTTGGTATCTATGTTTTTGTTTTGTGAACTTGATTTAATAAAAGGTTAGTCCACTAATATCTGAGCAATTATTTGAGAAAACATTGATGCAACTTTTTGTTTTTTAAACATCCTGTACTAATTAGCTACGCCATATATTATTAAGTCGTTATTAGTTAATAATTTGATTAATTAATTATTAATAATTCAGGAGGTCCCGTTACTACGCGTAAGATGTTATTTGATTTAGTTGTTTTAGAGTTAAATAACTGAGACTATTATGTAATATGTAGTATGTCATGTATTATTTAGACCTGGGGCCTCAGATCAGTGGTCGTGTCAACCTGATCTAAATAAACAAGATTCACGTCTTCACATCAGATTAGTTTCTTTTTTGGAATCGTGCATTTTAATGTTTTTTATTTTAAACACTATTTTGGATTGTTTATTTGTTAAATAAAATAATTTTTTTACGTGTTTGCTTTATAGGATTTTTTCTATATAAAGGCATAAAAATCCCTTTGTAAACTTCATGATTCAAATAAGATACTTTTATATTAAAAAAGGAAAAATTAAATATTTTAATAAAATATAACTTTTACAATGCCAAAAGAATTTTAAACACTTTCAACCCAAAGAACCTACATATTAAAAGAAAAAAGTTTTGTATAATAAAAAAGATAAGTATAAATTTATATAATTTTAGTAATTATAATTTTGATATATAAAAATTTTAAAATACTAATAAAATAAATTTTTATTTTTATTTTATAATATAAATAGTAAATATCTG